TTAATGTGCATTGCTTGTTGTGTACACACTTTGAGGCCTGTTTTGGTGCATGACTAAAATGGATTGTTGGGAATATTCCCCCCCCCCCCCCCCTTATAAGTACCAATCAAAAATATACATTCATCGCCCCATCAAACCATTCATTCTTTTAAATATTATTATGTTTTTCCCCTTCAGTCTTAACTGGCTATATCGTATGTTATTATTTTTGTTTTCTATTCTCAATTCTGCCTCTCTCTCTTTCTCTCTCTCTCTTTCTCTCTCTCTCTCCCTCCCTCTCTCTCCCTCCCCCCCTCTCTCTCTCTCTCTCTCTCTCTTCTCTCTCTCTCTCTCTCTCTCTCTCTCTCTCTCTCTCTTTCTCTCTCTCTCTCTCTCTCTCTGTCCCTCTCTTTCTTTCTCTATTTATTTTTCTCTTTCTATCTCTATCCATCACCTTCTGTCTATTTCCACATAATATAATCTGTTTAGAGTTGCAGGGGCAGTAACTATTTTTAATTAAGGCACCTATGGCTCCGAACAGATAATAATGATTTGCCTTTCATTTTTTTTTTTTGGGGGGGGGGGGGGGGTTCCACCATGTCATCTTAAAATGCTATTATTGTAATTTTAATTTGTATGCTATCAGTAAATTGCAAAGTTTGATCCCTCACGCATATACAATACCGGCACTCTGCATTCAACACTTGCACACACATAAGACTAACGATTCCACCCGCACAAAGAGACAGGCCTGAATTTAAATTAAAGCCAATGATAGTATGCTGCCCTCGCTGTTGAGTTCTTGGAGAGGAGAGGAGAAACGTATCCAGTCCACATTACGAACATACACCGTATCTTGTGATGACACACACAATGTGTAAGTCAGAATGCATGCTGTGTGTTTAATAATAACATTCACATACTAGATTAATTCTTATAAAGATGCTAATTAGCTCTCAGTGTGTTTTTTTCCAAGAAAAAAAGGAAATATTATTATGGGAGGTAACCATCGGATATATTAGAAGTTCTTAGATTAGAATAAAATATATCTGGCCCAGTTCAAATTAGTTTTTTGCTAAACCATTTATAGAACTTTCCTTTTGAGGATTGTAAAGTTTTTTCCCCATGTACCAGCTTTTATCAAGTAATTAAACAAATTATATTGTTAGTCCTTTAAAATGCTTCTTTTGAATGTTCATTCCTTGATGGGTGCCCAAGTTGATATTTCACAATGAGCAAGAAGCATTGAGATATCTAGACGTAGGTAGGACTCAACACTTGCATTGATGAGGAAAGAGGTAGACCAAGTCCTAAATATTTAGACTTAGGTCTAGACTAAGACCAGTATTGTCTAAATGCATCTCAAAGAATGAGCCTATTCAAAGTCTCTTTTGACTGCAAAGACTTAATCTACAATTACCATTTATCTTTTTTCCTCACCCATAACTTTTTTGGAGTGTTACCGCTCTACCATACAGAGATTAGAGTGTGTGGGACTGTCGAAATACAGACTCTGAAAAGTAAGTCCAAATTGGATGCAGTAGCCTTATTTTGCATGCGTTACTTTCTCCCCCTTTTATTGCAGACTTCAGCTTTTCAATTTGCTGCATTTTATTTGTATTATTGTACATTGTGATGATTTTATGATTCAAAATCTAACCTTACCCGTCCTGCTACCATTTTGTGTTTTAATCCGAGTCTAATTCCTCCTTTTTCAACAATTGTGCATGATAGCATTCATATTTTGTATCTAATTTGATAACAATGCATGCATACTGACTTTATGTACCATGCCTTTGAATTGAAAATTAAAAATTTCATTTAGAATATTTAAAACCATTTCATCCTGACACAAATTTGCTTCAGTAAACATATAAGATTCTGATAGAGAGCAAAATGAATTAAGCTTACAACTTCAACATATAGGAATGGGATTAAGTTTTGTTCTTTCAAAAGGTTATCATTTTTATTCTAGTACGGATGGCAAGAAAAGGATTGTTTTGGAAAGGATGGAGAACTTCAAATTCATTTCCACGATAACTTAAATCATAGCGATAATAACTTGTTCTGCTTCATATTTTGCACATTTTGCACTTGCATTTGCACTTGCACTTTTTGCATCCCAATTCTTCAGTATTTCTAGACTAGAAATTTAATCGAACCATAAACAAGGATTCATCACAGAAAGTGTTATGTTAATTCTTGAAAAACCTCATAACAGTCATTTACATTGTTTAACACACCACCTGTACACACAGCACCCACAGCACCCACTACATTCCTTCCCTGAACCAATTACGTCCTTCCACTTATTGGAAACATAATTATTGTTTGTTTATCTGCTGCTTTGCAATTGCATTTGGCGTTGTTTATATCCATGTTCATGAATTAATATAATAATTATATATGATTTTGTACCTTATTTTGTTGCTTCATGTTCACTGGTTTTGGAGAGTAGTACAATTGTTCCCTCTTTACAGCATCAATCATTCATTCATTTGTATCCTGGCTCTCCGACAAGTACACATCATGTTGATAAAATCAAGTCATTTCTTGTAATTTGCACATGTACACAAGATGGCAACAAAATAAACAGACAAAATAAGGACATTCCTAAAAAATAGTGGTACTATTAAGCTGTATATTCAGAGAAAATTGATTTTATGGCAGACAAGTTGTACAACAGGACAATTTTCTGGTAGAGAGATTAAAGTTTATAGATTTCAAGTTGTTCATTGGTAGTGAATGGCTTTCCAAACTTAGTCAAGCATGTTGGCCATTTTATGTCATTTCAACCCTGTTTTCATATTTTTAGTTTTGCACAATATTTTCAAAGCATTTTTGATTTAAGTGAGATGAGTTTTAATTATGCACAATCTTTTTTTCTGCACCATTTAAATTCCCATGCCTTTTTGTGTTATTTATGGCTCAACTACCACTATGAAAATCCAATGGCATTTTTCAATTGTCCTTTTTTCATTTTCACCTCAAAAATGATTTATTTGGCTTTTGTACATTTTCCTCAAATGTACAGAATAATCTCTCGTAAATCATTATGTCTATGTCAAATATGTTGGTTTTTGTGGTGAAACTTTGAGTAAGGTTGAAATGTATACCCTAAATTATTCAAAACATCATCTGTGTCATTATATGGTACATTTTAAATCAAAAGGAGAAAATAGGCAAAATAAGAAAAAAGTTTTCTTTCCTAGGCATATTGCAGTTGGACGAGCTAATAAATTTACCGTGTATTAATGAGCAACTATTTTTTTTTGATAATTGACATGCATGTATTACTTAGTATTCTAAGTCTATCTGATTAATTGACGATTGATTAATGGACAAGCTAGTGCATTTACTGCGTAAATGATCGACTCTTTTCTTTGATAATTAAAATGCGTATTTTACTTAGTATTCCAAGTTTATATGATTAATTGCTTTTATTAAAGAGACAGTTTGGATTTATTTTACAACCATGTAACTTTACTCTGTTTCATGTTCAATTGCAGACTGACTGTAATCTAGTTGAGGGGGTTGAAAATTGTTCAATTTTCTTTATCCTTTGTGCTCATTTTTAGTATGGTTTGCCATTGTATGAGCCTGCCCAGTACGTAGTACGAATTGTTTCTTTAGCTGACCTCATCATTGACCTTGTTGCATTTCAGTGCAAGATGAGATGTAATAGTGTGCATAATGATAGTCAAACCTGCTTTAGTGACCACCTGTCTACAAAGACCACCTGTCTACAAAGACCACCTGTCTACAAAGGCTACATTTTTAGTTTCCCTTGAAAACGGTTTCTCATTGAATCATGTACTAAAGGAACCTGTCTACAAAGACCACCTGTCTACAAAGGCCACTTTTTGTGTTTCCCTTGGGGGGTCGCTACAGACAGGTTTGACTGTATCTGTAAAGTGTGCTCCTGTATAACATGGTGTATACCTTGTTTAGTTCTCCTTTCTTATGTTAAAGGGAGTGTAGCCTGATGGGACTACATGAACGTGTCTTTCCCGTAGCCTGACCCGGGTCAATCGGGTATAAATGACTACAGACAACGCGACCGCAGCAATCACATTCGTGCAACATACATGAAAACGAAGCATGAGGAGAACTTCGGTCTGTTTTGCGATCGCTGACCATGTAGAGATTAAGTCGCTGACTACCGTTAATCAAGTCAATTTGTTTACATGCAGTTGTCCAAAAAAAAACATACAGTAGATGACGTTAACCAGTATTTGTCAAGCTACACTCCCTTTAAGGACCATTCAACATGACATGATTACAAAATTATAGTTAAACAATTTTGTAATTAAATTTACTTTTTTTAAACTGCGAATCAAGAAATTCTATCTATCAATGCTAGGAAGCATTTTATTTACGAAGTTTTTTCTTCACAGATACTTTCTGAAATGCACCTTATTTGCAGTTCCGAGTAGAAATGAAAGTGTTGTTGAATTATGAGTAAATATATCTGCTTTATAAAAAAAACATATTGTAAGGTGTCAGGCAAGAAAATATATATAAAATAGAAATTTGCCTCCTTTGAATCTTTTCGTTTTTTTCTTCCCTAATGCATTTTTAGTGGACTTTGGATAGAAGTGAAACTTTCCTACGAATTGCATTTTTGAGGGAGATGTTTCACCTGTCTATGTCATTCCTTTTTATGTTTAAGTTTATGGGTATTGCAATGTATTCTAACAGGTATATATGTGTACGTCAGTGCTGACATGTTTGTTTTTAAAATGTAATAATCTTGTTATTACTGTTTTGAGTTTAAGGTACACAAGTCTTTCAAAAGTTTGTGGGTTGAAATTTGTTCTGATCTCTGCATTTGTACATATCAGTTGACAACAATATACACTGCATGCATTTCAGTATATTGTAAACTGGTACAGAATTCAGAAATTTTAGCATTTTTGAGAAATCTGTTACCAGAATGTTAGAGAATTCTCTTAAACTTGGTATGTGCAATGTTTTTGTAATATATCTTTTGTTGTTTCTTCTTTTTTTTTTGTCTACAGATGGAGGATGATGTCACAAATGGAGGTAGTGTCATTGCTATGGCAACCGTGGTCCAAGCAGGAGCCGAATCAGATGACAATTTGGTAAGTAACTGATTAGGATGACCTCATTTCAGAAAGGAAACAATTGTTTGTCAATTACCTGGAAAGACAGAAAATGCAATTTAGAGTAAGTTTTTGTTATTTTACCTTCATTTGGGCTCCATAAATTTTACTGCAACATATAATTACAGTCAAATCTGCTTTAGCGACCACCTGTATCACAAGACCACCTGTCTATAAAGACCATATTTTTGTTCCCCTATATGGTTTCTCATCAAACCTGTACTAAAGGAACCTGTACATAAAGACCACCAGCCTATAAAAAGACCACTTTCCATGTTTCTCTTGAGCGGTCTTTATGTATGGGTTTTAATCGCAGTTCAAAATTATGTTTCATTGCTTTCTCTTTAAATGAAGCCTCACTGTCATACTCAAAGTTCTCCCAACCATTTTTGAATTTTCCCAACTGTTTTTCCATGAAAGTAAGACGTAAAACAGGCTCTTAAAAATCGCTTAACACTTAAATGTCTGCAATGGTATATAGAGCCAATTCATTGCCTTGTGACGTTTTACATTTACCTAAAATGTAATTACATTGTAATAATATAGTTGGGAGAATTAACTAAGCGATCAGATCAGTTTTCCCCAATTTTTATCACTAATAATGGTCCGTTTTCACTCAAACTTTCAGATTTTCTTTAATTGTACATCTAGCATTGAAGTCGCTACCTTAGCACCAATTTCTCTCATCTGAACAATGTTACTAAGTCCCTTAAAAGCATGAGATTTTTTCTTTCTTTTAATTCCTGTAGGATGCGACTGAAGAAGGCCGGGAAGTTGATGGAGAGAGCGACAGTGAATCAGAAGATGAGTTTGGATACACTTGGAGTAAGTCTCAATTGTTTTGCTATTTAGTTTACATGATTAACCCCTTGACTCCTGAATTCTCTCATTCCCATAGGCATTGTACATGGACCATCCGATTCACATAGGCAATGGCTTAGTAAACTAAAAATGATATATGAACTGGAGAAACTTCATGCATATTTAGGTTATCAACTCTACTCGGTTATGACTTTTTCAATAAGAACTGAAGAATTGGAGAAACTTCAGGCATAACATTATCAAATGTATTTGGTTATAATGAACATGATTGCTTAATATGCCAATGAGAACCAAAGAAACTTCATGATACTTTTCATTTTAAAAAATTCGCCAGCATTTCAGGTACATTGATTGCATTCTCACAATTTAGGTTGTTCAGTAAGAACTTCAAAATGCTATAATCTGCATCAAAGAAAGTGTATAAAAACCTCATTCAAGTACCAACTTTAGCTACATTTGAGCAAGTCTCAGACCTTTCTCATGCTAGTATAACCTCCAAATGCCATGTCCAAACTGCCTAAAATCAAATGATCAATACATAGTTATATTTTTAATTTTTTAATTTTTTTCTTCAGAGAAATTGAGTCAGAGATACAGTGACCTAGACGGAGAGTTGCATGCGATTGAACTGAACAAAGGAGACAGAGGATTGGGCCTTAGGTAAATAATTAATTTTTGGACTGGTATTCTGAAAATAATGCTATCTTTTATGTTTGTAAAATGCTGTTAATCATCATAACAAAGCAAAATAAGGACAAGTCATTGGTTAAGGTCTGTGCCAAGCTGGCTGCATTTGCATTGAGAGATATCTGCACAAGCACCTGTTGTAAGGGATCATAGTTCCATGCAATTTAAGTTTGTTTTCGACGATTAGTATCATTTTCCTTCCATAAAAGATGAAATTGTTTTCAGAATATGGCCCCTGGTGGTTTAGGGTTAGTTAGGGGTAGAATGCTGT